CTCAGAATGGCCTCTGTAAACATGATTAAATGCTGAATGTGCCAGGAACAAAACCTGTTACAAAGGGCAGAATGGGCCCTGTTTGGGGAAGGGATGGTGACATGATCTTTAAAAATATACATATTTTTTGTACTCTTGTGTAATAAGCACAAGGAACCACATCTTCTGTGGCTAGGGGCATTTTCCAACAGGAAGAGGGGCAGTGATTTCCCTGCAATTGGATATTACATGCTAAGGGACCTGGGTCCCTGGAAGTGCTTTGGGATTCAGCGCAGGGATTCATCAGAAGCTAAAAAACCAAGAGTCACTAGGTTAGTTGGAGGGCACCTGAATTGAGCTTTATAGTTGAGCTTTTCTTTTTCTTTTTCTTTTTTTTTCTTTTTTTTTAGGAAAGGTAACTGATTTCATTGAGTCAATTCAGATCACAAAAGACCCACTTCTACTGGCAAAAGTTGCTTTGCTTTCTGACTCCACAAGAAATAGAAAAGACCAGCTGCCCGTGGCCATTTCAAAACAACTGCCTCCTCAGAGGGAAGTAATAGATGCTGGAGACAGAGGAAAAGCTCTAATCTCAGGACCTGCAGAATTTCTGACCACACCATTGCCACCCTGTCTGTGCACTCTGTCTTTGTTTCCTTCCCACACAGTGCCTTCCCACCCTTCTCAGCCTGCTCCCTGCTCCTTCAGCCACAGGCTATTTGTTATGTAGTTGCTGCCAACTTGGCTGGTGAGAAGCCAGGCCTGGAGGAAAGAGAGGGTCCTGGCATGAGCATAGACTGAAGGCCCCAACAGGGTCAACTCCTGACTCCTCCCACAATACCACTGTGCCTCCATTAAACATTGTATGGAACTAGAAGTCACTGGAGGGTCATTGGGGACCTGGTTAGCAAAAAGTGGTCCTGCTATCTATCTGGATACAGTCTCTCAGTGTGTGGAAGGGTGGCAGGAATAGAGAGGGAGGGCCACAGGGTGCTTTGGGGCCAGGTTCAAGCAGCTTACTCATGAAAACGTTCTGAAAACGTCTGGGCTCTTGTGTCCTTGGATCAAACAAAGAAAATCCGTCCTTGCTTGCCAGTGTAACAAACCTCAGACGAGGCAAATCTCACAGAGTGTGGTACCTCCAGAACAGAGATTTGGTGCCACTGAGGCTCTCTGAACAAAAGCCTGTGCAGGTCTGCTGGGAGGGTGGCATTCTGGTTCCCAGACTGGAGAGCCTCGCAGGACTCGAGCTGGCACTGCCCAGGACTGCTCACCCTATCCCAGTATTTACCTCTTGTCCTTCCCCTGTCTCAGCACCATACAGGTAGTATGGACCAGACACTGCCTTACCTCCCAGTGCTGGCCACTGGAAACTCTGGCCTCTGTTTACAACCAGAGGAAGGTTGTAAATAGTGAGCATCTCCCTTTGGTGAAGGGAAGCTTGGGCATTGACTTTCTTGCCCTGATCTCTCTCTCTCCTTAGGCTTTTGGTTGTCAGCCTGAGGAGACAGCTTAGGATTCCTGTCGCGAGTGACTGGTTCATATCTAGAGCTGCAGAAGACGTAAGAGAAATTCACCACCTGGTTTCCCAGACACAACTAGGAAAGGCCTAGAAAGAAAGCTCGTGTGCTGGGGCTACAAGAGGTGGTCCTGAGGTGGCGGGGCCACCGACCATGAAGCTGAAGGATTTAAGAGCTGCAGAAAGTGACTTCCGGTTGATGGGGGCGGTGGCAGGTAACCCGGAAAGGGGTGGAGGACTTAGCTGACGCCAGCGCACTGGGAACCCGGCGCGTAAGTGGTGGGACCCACTAACCTGTGGATTCGTTTTTCGGTTCCACGTCGGGTGGCGATGAGTGGAAACTAGTCTTTGAGGACCGTTTGCTTTACCTCTGCAGGTAGCCAGCGGCATACACCTTCTCCTGGTCCTCGCGTTCGGGGCCTGGAGAATGGGGGAATTAAGGACAGCACCGTGTACTGGCCGTGGGCGCGCGTCTGCCAGCGCCCAGGAGACCTTGACCAGGCTCCGAGGCTAGTGCGTGGACCACAGGGATGTCTCCAGCCAGGGGGCTTTCGATGATCCCGGAAGTAACCAGACAAAAAGTGACTCGCACTCTGTTTGAGTGGAGTTTGGAGGAGTATATTGCCCGGAGTAGTCGAGAAGGTGAAATGAGCATTTTTCCGACCGCACAGTTGCTGTGAGCAGACGCGCAGCGGGACGAACCGCGCGCGGGTTAGGCAAGGCGCGGGTCAGGGCCGGCGCAGCCCAGGAGCGCAGGGTGATGGTTCCTGCCTCTGCCAAGCTGTGGAGGAGGCGGCTTGCCGGTTTCGCGCCCCGATCACGTGCATTGTCAGTCTTCTTTCACTGTTCAGCTCCTGCAGGTGTGTGTGTGTGTGTGTGTGTGTGTGTGTGTGTGTGTGTGTGTGTGTTTTAATGACTCAAATACACGTTTAATCCTGTTTTATAGATTTTAAAAATTCAGTGGCCTCCACCCTGCTTTCTTGCGCACGCCACGAGGATTCGGTTTTAAGCCCGCACTACTCCCCCCCCTCCGCCTCCCCCCCCCCAAAAAAGAACTACTTCTGCCCCAGTATCCAGGAGAGTTGAAAAGAACCGAGTCTGGCTGCCAAATTCAATCCCTGCCCACAAGAGTCGGTCACTTCTGTCGTAAACACTTGGCTCTTCCTAAAGTCTTCCCCTCGGACCCCAGAGGAAGTCTAAGTGAAACTTGCCAGCCACCAGGTTTAGGTGGACTGAGGCTCAAGCAAGTGTCTTGGCTTTCCTGGCTCATCCCTAGGCAAAAGTTTGATCTTCTCCTGGAATCTTGCAGCTGAAGAGAGGGATGGATACAAGAACGGTTGTTTCCATAGGGGTGTAACTTGAGAAGCAGAAAGAAAAAGAAAGAAAGAAAGAAAGAAAGAAAGAAAGAAAGAAAGAAAGAAAGACAGACAAGAGGCCAAATCTCAGTCTCCAGAAGCTCAGCCGAGTGGTTTTTGGCTCCCCAGGTTTGGGGAAGAGGCTTATAGCAGTGAGTCTGGGGCAGGAGATACTCCAGCTCTTTCAGCAGACTCCTAGGGAACAGGAGGAGGAGAAACAAGCAACTGGATTTGTTTGGAAAATCTTCGCCCCTTGAAGTATGGGATAGACTGTGTGACAGGAAAGGGAACTTACTGATGGCATCCAGCGCCACTATGGGCCTTTAATTGACAGCTTGTCACAGAACCAAGGGCATCACCTTGCAGAAGGCACAGTGCTCAGGTTAGCATCCCATAATCATTCACTCAGGAAAGAGACTACTTCAGTAAAGTACACTGTTCTGAGGGACTCCACGTCTGTTCCCAATGTCTGCCTGCCCACACTAGTTAAAGCCGGAAGCATAGAGCTTGAGACTAGAACAGTGGAAAGAGAAAGGGCATTCAGCCCCGAACAGCATCTTTCAGAGTGTGTCAGTGGCATGTGTTCAAGTTATGCACACCCATTTGTGATATGACCTTTTTTCCCCACAGTGGCTTCACTGTACTGCACAGGTGACTTCCTGTGTCACAGCTGCCTTGATGTTAAGTATTCTAGTCATGGAATATTTCCAATCCTGAAAAATCTACACGCGTTTTATAAGCTTTTCATTATCGAGATAGGAACCTTTAAATGGGTGTTCAATAATGGATAAGGCCGCATCTTCACATCAACCTTGGCTTATGTGAATTGACCTTCTAGGTCAAAATCACGGCCTTTTCATTAAAATGACCAATGAATAATGTATCAGAGTGTAGTTTAAAGCTCCAAATATGTTTTCGGACAGAAATATCCCAAGAATGCAAGTCAGGTATATTTCTCAGATAAATGACAGAAGGGGCATTGCATACATGGAAATTCTCTGTTCTCAGGTTTCCTGAAACCCAGAGCGCGCATCATTAATCATTCATTGGGGTCGATCTTTCAGTCAACTGCAGCTCTGAGTAAGCCGCAGCGAGCCCTTAGCTAATCCTTCCTGCTAAGGGGATCCTGGGGTGAGAGAGGACAACTGGACAGTCAGCCACATGTGCTGGTGCCCAGACCTGCCCCTCTTGCCCTGCTGTGAGCGCGGGTGTGCATGTGCGCTCACCCTCTCGGACACAGACCGAAAACTTCCCATACGGAAAAACAAATTCGGCATAATGTTTAGCGTGACCCAGAGTTTCCAATAGAAAAGCAACTCGAACTGTGGCCTAATGGCTCAGGGCGGCTCTCTAAGTACCAAACAAGCCCGTTAAATACATTAGAGGCAACAACAGCCTTCTCCTCCAGCCGCGCCACACCAAAGGCTTCCCAAGTTGGAGTGCGAATCTTGGTTTGGTTCCCCACCGCAAGCACTTCGAAGCGCTGGGATTCTCACGGCCGGACTTTGTTCCGGAGAGATTCCTGGGGCCAGGATTGTGCTAGCAGGGTCTGCGGGGCAACGGGAAGGGAACCTGGAAATCTGGTCTTGGGTAGGCGAGAGTGCGTTCCGGGGACGCAGGCGTGCAGCAGAGGTGGGAGAGTCCAGGAACTCACTTCCACGTTTAAAGCACCCCCCCCCCATTTCGGCTGCTGCCCCCTGGAAGACTCCCATGCTCGCGCGGAGGTGAATTCCGCGCCGTTGGCTCCGGTAGGAGGGTGGCCGTGCGGCGCGTGAGAACTGCTGGGGTGCGTGGCCCGGGTCTGCGCGTGCCCAGCGTCGGGGTACAGCTCCTCTCCGCCCGGCTTCTCCTCCCACTCACTCGCTCCCATCTCCTCCCTCCTCCACACCCCCCGCCCCCGGGACAGCGAAGCTCCCTCCCCGCACCGGCCAGAGAGTACACAAAGCGGCGGGTGAGGGGAAGCTTCGCAGGCGTGCACCAAGCAGTGAGATCACTGGCGTTATAAATATCCCAGTTCCTGCGCCGAGATCCATTCGAGTGGCCTCTCTCTCTCTCCCTCCCTCTCTTCCCCGAGGCTATGTCCACCCGGTGCGGCGAGGGGGGCAGCGCCAGAGGCACGCAGCCGCGCGGGGGCTACGGAGCCCAGAACCAACCCTACAAGATGCACTTAGAACCCCCGCGGCTGGAAGAATGAGCTTGTCCTTCCTCCTCCTCCTCTTCCTCAGCCACCTAATCCTCAGCGCCTGGGCTCACGGGGAGAAGCACCTCGCCCCCAAAGGGCAACCCGGACCCGCAGCCACCGGTCGGAACCCGGCGGGCGCCAGCAGCAGTAGGAGCAGCAGGGGCACGACGTCTTCCTCTTCTTCCTCCGTCTCCTCCTCCCCCTCGGCTTCTCTGGGCAACCAAGGAAGCGGCTTGGAGCAGAGCAGTTTCCAGTGGAGCCCCTCGGGGCGCCGGACCGGCAGCCTCTACTGCAGAGTGGGCATCGGTTTCCATCTGCAGATCTACCCGGATGGCAAAGTCAATGGCTCCCATGAAGCCAATATGTTAAGTAAGTTGCTCGCCCTCCTGGCAAAGCGCGTCCTAAGCGGGCGATGGGGGGATTCGGGAGGGACAGAGGCTATTCCCTGGCCCACAGGCGCACCTTCCGGAGCCCTGGCTCCTGGGACTCAGCTGTCCCTCGGAACCGCGGGGCGGGTTGGGTGGAGGTGCATCTACATGGAGCGCACACGCGCACCCCTCTTGTGGGTATGAGGAATGGCGATTCCTGAGGTGTAGGCTACCGGAGGCTGGCGCACAAGACAGGTACCTTGTTTCCAGTTTGCCCGGGTCCCAAAGAGAAGCCTCCAGCCGGTGCCTGGAGAAGAAAACAAAAATCTTTTGCTCCTTTAGTTTCTGTTTACCTTCTGCTTCTGTTCACTAGGCTAACATTTTTCATGAGGCATCAAAGTGCATCCCCTTTCCTTGCCTATAACTGAACAGTTATTTTTTAAAAGAAGAATCAGATCTCACATGCCGGTCCCCCCAACTGCCACCATAAACCCCAAAGTAAGGTACATGATACATACATGTATCCGTCTATATCTCTTGTATATGCATATTTGTACATTATATACATATAGAATATAGGAGAGATCAGACATCCCCTGGTTGGAAGAAGACAGCGATCTGGAAAACTGGACACGTTTAGAGTGGGATACGTGATAGACATTCGAATTATTAATTCCAGAGTTGGGTTTAGCAACGTTTAAGTATGTTGAGACCATGACAACACCTTGTTAGGAAGCGGCCAGCCTTTGGTCCCCAAGGACGATTAAGGAAAAGTTCTTTATTTTGGAAGAAGGTCAGAGGAGGTTCAATTCCGTACAGGTGTACGGAAGCTTTTTTTTTTTTTTTTTTTTTTTTTTTAAGCTAAGTTTTACATTCTCTTTCTGAGTTTTCTCTTTAGCTGTCTTTCCCCCCTCTTCCTATTGCCTCTTTCCTTCCACGCCATCTGTGTTTCCAGACCTTCGCTGGCTGCCCCGCCTCTGATTCCTCTCACCGCCTCTAGGTAGCCAAGGGGAGAGATGATTTGGGGGTGTGTGCGAGACCGGGGCGATCTCTTTGAGGCTTTTCCTCGGTTGGGCCAGATCGCTCATCCAGCGATAATCCAACAGATAGACACAGCAGGGGCCTGCGAGATAATCAGGAAGAGCGGGAACGGGGCCAGGAGATCGCGCTGCGTACGGTCACCTGGCTCCGTGTGGCCGCCTGGTAGCTCCCAGATGTACTTAGCTTGCTTCCTTTCAAACCCATAGCCCTACGGGCCATTCAGTGGGCTTCTGACTACCGGAGCTGCAGAGGAGCGCGGGAGCCCCAGCAGGGCAGGCAGTCTGGGAGCCGCTTGCCAAGCAGGGCTGGAGGTGTCGCGTCCATGGGGTACCCCGCTGGCAAGCCTCCTCCGGAGGGGACAGGAGGCGGGATGTGGAAGACCTGCCGGTTCGCGCCCGCCCCTGCCCCACACCCGTCTTTTGAGCTATGCTGCTCCAGCTGGCCGTGTTACACGTAGTAGGTGTTACACGTGGTAACCCCCTGAACCAGAGAGGGGGCTCCTCCCCGGGGCCTCCCACGCGCCCCGTGGGGGAGGCTGTTTCTACGTTTCAAGGTTCATTTCACTTTTATGAAACAACTCACCGTCTTTGGAGATAAAGGGCAAGGTCTGTTAGGGTGAAGGGGAATTTTCCAAGATTTCAGGGTCAGGGAGAGTCACGTTAATTTCAGTATTTCCCTTTGTCTCTCTCATTTCCCCACACCCAACTCTTGAGTCCATCAGACACCAGAGCTCATTCCCCGCTTCTAGTAATCTTTCCACCTCTCTTTTTCAGGAAACCTTTTTCTGTTCTGCTCTTGTAGTTTACCCAGGAAATTAGCACCAGCAGTAGATAACTTCTGTGTTCCCAAGGGAAGGCACAAAGTTAGCATGCACCACGCTGCAGGTTGGGGCTCAGGGGAATAAAAGAATGTGTCTTTGGTGGGTTTTGGTGTAGTAGGGATCTCTGAAAACCAGATTCATTCCCAAGATATTTCTCTCTTCTCTTGGAAAAGACAAAGATTCTGCACCTTAGGCCTTGCCAGAGGGGAAGTTCTAGAAAAGCAGAGAAAGGAAAGTGAGAACCCACCAGCAAAGAATACATTCAGCTAAAGAAGGCATTGACCAATATCTTTTCTTTCCAAGATACAATTTATTTTAAAATCCACTTTGAAAGTTACTTAAAAAGAACAAGGATGTTTACAAAACAGTGCCTAAATAAAACTTCCTTAATTTAATACTTTTCCTAATTCATTCCAGGTTAGAATAGGCTTTCAGGGTTTAGTCTGTATCTTTCATATGGTTTGCATCATTCTTCACTCACTCTTCATTCATTCATTCATGCACCTATAATAGGCTACTTAATTCATCAAGCTTGATATTTCGATTGCTTTTGGGAGTTGGAGGATTTTTTAAAATTTGTTTTTGCCTTCCATAGCTGTTTCATGCAGAGAAAACCATAACTTAAGTGTTTAAATCACAGCGATTTTCTGCTTTGTGATGTCTGGAGTGTCCAACACTACTAACTATGATTTTTCTACCACTGGTGGATGAGGAATTTATGAAATATGTCATGTGTAGTGGGGGAGCACATAATTTGGAAATTTCAAATGAGTCTCTGCCCTCAATATCTGTGAAAGAGAATCAGAAGCCTGCTAATTGTTGGCTGGTCATCTACTTCTTTGAAAGCAGCACTTGACAGTTTCCTGACACATTACATAGACTAAAGCATTGGTCATGGACTGTTGGTTAGAGTACACAAGGAAACAATTGTGTAAGTCTCACAAGAGACACTGAGAGCTGGACCAAAAAGGGCCATAGAGGTACCTCATCATCTCATTTTACTGTCTGTGAGTTGGCAATGATAGAGAACTTACAGTTGGTTTTTTTTTTTTTTTCTTTTTTTGGTCACAGCATGCTACTTCAGAAAGAGTCAAAACTTTGCCACCAAACTGCAGTCTAAATGGTTTTTTTAAACTCAGTAATTTTCTGTAATGTTTGTCAGGACAGATACATATATCTGTACATATACATATGTTTTACAACTATCATTTGATGTTAAAATTTCGGCAAACTGTGAATGTTTTCTAGTTTCACCATCAGAAGTACACTCAGGCCATAAAGTTTGAAACACAGTTTATTTGGTTAAGGCATACCACTTAATATGTCCTTACCTTCTCTTATACAGTAGTTAGCCCAAGTTTTGGACACAGAAAAAAATAATCAAGCTCATAACATTCTTATTATGAAGAAATACTAGGGAAGAATGAAGAAAGATGGACAAGACAAGACAGATGATAAAATCCAATTATTGAATAGAAACAAAGGGTTTGCTTTAATTCATGAGCTTTCAAGTTTAGTTTCAATGCTTCTGTTGACTTATGGTGGGCCATTGAAGAATAGGCAGTCAAGTAATTCTCAATTCAGGGAGCAAAAGTTGAAGGTTATGGCTGCACAAAGCCAAAGTTCACATAAAATAGGAAAATTACAATCATATATTCTGACTAAACTGAATCCTCAATTTTACTAATTTTTAAACATTGAAGTTCACTATCAATTTTAGTGTCCTATAGAATCAACCTTTCTATAGTCCCCCAGAATCTGTATCTACTGAATAGAAAAACTCAAATGGAAATTTTCTATTGCTGATTTAATCATCAAGGTCTGCTACACTGGACATTTTAAGACTCAGATTTGATAATGATACCCAGACATCTGTGTCTATGTGAACACAAGTAGAGAAACTTCCGTTTTAAATGATTTTTCTTTGAGGATTTTCAAATGGGCTTCTGAACATGGGATATCTATGTCATTCTAGTATGTTATTTACTAAGAAATGGGAAAAGTGAGAAATCTGCGTAATTTTATCAACCACCATTAATAGAGTCCTGTTGTATTAAAAACTCTGGAGGGGACTAAGGTAAAAATGTAGACATATATTTTCTTTTTGAAATAAACTTACTTTGTAATATATGCCCATGCTTGCAAGTAAGTGGATTAAACAATGTGTGTATAAATTCTTGTCTCCTTCAATCTAGATGTCAACCCCCAAATTACACCAAGAGAAAAATGGTTCCTTCTGTTCAGCACTGCTTTTTTCTTTTGATCCTCTTACATGTGAACTCCCTCGGAAAGATAACACATTGTCTCTAGCACCTTAATGTGAAATAATTATACTGATCCTCTCTCCTTGCCCCACTTCCTAAGTAGGAGAGGACCAGAATTGCAGGAAAGTGAAACCTGTGTCCGTACGAATGCTCATTTGTGTCTGTATGTATGTGCAGGTGTCCTGAGAAAGGAAAGAGAGGTAGTGACAAGGTCAAAGAAAACAATGCAATTTGGCAAACATGTATTGGCTATCTATGGTCTGTGAGATACACTTAGCCTTCCAGAATTTTGCTTTAGGGATACCATCCTGGTATCCGTAATGTGAATTGTAAATTCCGATAAAATTTATTGTTATTGAATCCTAGTAAAAGTCAGGAAATTACTGAAATTGAGAAAAATTTAGTTTCAGAGAAATGTTTTCTGGGATTTCTATATGTGTGATTTAATGCATATGGGTTTAAAATATTTAGGACTCCTTAGTGAGTTACTGAGATTTGGCATAGTAAAATCAATAATGGTGTGATCTCTTGGAGGTGGGGTCAGGAAGCTGAATTGTAGGGCTTGTAGAATCTGCTCCAACATTCTAGTAAAAAAGACATTGTGAAATTACTGTTGAAATTACTTTGGAAATTATGATCTTAATAGCATTCCCAATATTACATCATAATTATGTTAAGATTTAGAAGATCATCTCAAAGTTGCCTTATGTGTTATTTTATCTGATCTCATCTTTTATCTTTCCTGCATTCTTTATAATTTTAAATAGAATAATATATGTGAAGGTATATTTTTAAGCTTTCAATTAAATATAACTTTAAAAAAATTATAAAATCCATTCATTCTCAGACAAATATCATTTTTATAGTAGAACTTGCAAGAAAAGAAACCATGCAGTATATAATAAAATAAGAACATTTTACATATATTATCTTATCTCTCCCATCTAATTTATCACAATGGAAAGTTTACACAACATATACACACAGAATGTACAGTGTGTTAGGAAACAAGTTAAATGACTCAAAATAGGTTTTTCTAAAAATAGAATATGTTATGGTCAGAAGTTGTAGCTCACATAGACAAAGCATTAATGCTCCCATTAAACAAGTATTTCTAGAGCCTTTGTCTTGATCTTTCAAATATTAACCTATAAACATATGTATCCAATAAGAATTTTATCTTTTATGCTATGGTGTATTTTTTCACTAACATGCAGGTTTGCATTTACAAAGTCAAATGCTTTTCTGTAGAATGGAATAGAAATGCTCTAACAATGTAGAACCATGAGTAAATTGGGGGAAAACATACAACCGACTCTCCTTTTCCACCAATCCCATATTGTCTCTTTTGTTTCTATTGTTCCACACTTAGACAACTTATCAGGTTTCCATTTCTTGCTTTTTAACACATGTTTACACAGCATTCACAATCATAACCCCCATCTTCCAAATATCTAAAATCATCAATGCTGTTTTTAATATCATTCTGTAATTGTATATATATAACTTTGTATCATGTTCTATTTATGCTTTATTAATTATATTATTACAGTATATTGCATTGTACATTGTATCTAACTTTACAAAGCATTATGTGTGCTTTGTCACTATTTGATAAAATGGCAATGCTTCAAAATCTTTGGGTGCGCATCACAAATAACTTATATGGCAACATCTATTGAAAAGAGCATTTTGAAAACATTTTGAAGAAAATAATTTATGAGATGACAGTTTCTTTCGGAATTTCTTCCTAAAAGCAAAACTAGTTCCTTCCTAATAATTTTTTTTTTTTTTAAGAAACATCTACTAATAAAAGTGGTAGTGGCAGTTTTCTTGAAATGTGCTTTATTTACTCTGGACTAAATACTCTTCTAACAGAAACAATAGTTCTCCGCTACCCTTTTCCCCCATGAACTTTCTAATCAAGTGCTTTTAAGAAGTCAAGTTGAATAAATAAATAAGCAGCAGTATTTGCTATATTTATAAGTATAAGCTCACATTGTGCAAAAAAGTACCCAATGAATATATTCATATATATGTATATATCTTATATATATGGTTATTCTCAATACTACATTTTTAATAAATGAAATAATTTTATATGTACTTCCAATACTGCAGGGGAGGTTGCTATTTTAAGAAAATCTGGTGAATTTATCTGTTCAGCAGAATACTGTTAAGATATCCTAATTAGTATATATGTTCAGAATATAATAGATTGAAAGATTGAGATTTTCTTCCCTTCTCCTTTCCATCCTTTTTTCTTTCCTTCCTTTCTTCCTAGGACAGGTCTCTTTTTAGCTATAGTGAACCATATTATTTTGTCCCCCCCCCCCAATTTTTTGCAATTTGATGTAGGCAATTAACAAAAAGCACTACCATTTTCTCATGTTCATATAACATTATGTATGAGTTTACGATAAACAGGCAGGAATTCCAGTTATATACAGACTATAAATTTCATCTTCTAAAATACTCTGTAAACTGTGGTATGTGATTCTCATGACACAGTGGATGTGGACTTTCTTTTTTTAAAAAAAATTTTTTTAACGTTTATTTATTTTTTTTGAGACAGAGAGAGACAGAGCATGAATGGGGGAGGGTCAGAGAGAGAGGGAGACACAGAATCCGAAACAGGCTCCAGCTCCAAGCTGTTGGCACAGAGCCTGAGGCAGGGCTCGAACTCACAGACCGCGAGATCATGACCTGAGCCGGAGTCGGACGCTCAACCGACTGAGCCACCCAGGCGCCCCTGGACTTTCAAATTATTATAGGAGACAGAGGGATGTTGACTTGATAATGTTAACTATGAAATACTAAATATAAACAATAATGTAATAAAATACCTTATTAATTTTTTTGCCAGAAAAGCCATTTAAAATACAAGATGTCTCAAACCATAATGCATTAAACACTCATTGAGCCAATAATCCCAAATTATTTATAATGCTTTCAACAACTTTTTATGTGTAGTCTTTAAATGAACTACTCACTGAATGATTGAATATGGTATATATTGATTTGTACTTGTACAGTTATTACAATTTGGGAAGAGAGATTTAGTTCATGTAAGTAAGTATTATTTGTCTCTGGCTTTCAAGTTTCTATTAGTATTGGGTCCAAACTTTATGAGCTTCAATATTAAAAGCATTATATTATCTCTGATAGAAAACAATGGATGGGAATTCTTTTGAAAAACATTTAAAGAAATTTCCGATTCCTTTACAACTTGAGAAGATTATTTCTATTGTTAAACATTGTTTACTAAAAATGACTTATTATTTGTAAGGGAAAAAAGAATTATTAATGAACCAGGACTAAATTTTTGAATATTAAAATTTGTTATTTTAAATGAACACTTGACTGCTAGGCTTTTCTTTTTTAACATAATGAATGTTATGGAAAATAAGGATGTTAAATACTGGGTTTTTTTTTTTTTAATCGAAACTATAAAGAATGAAAAGAATCTGTGTAGAAATTTAATTCTTCACAATGGTATATGGAGGAGTCTGTGTTTTATTTTGGGATTTCTGTCATCCTAGGTATTTTGGAAATATTTGCTGTGTCTCAGGGGATTGTAGGAATACGAGGAGTTTTCAGCAACAAATTTTTAGCGATGTCAAAAAAAGGAAAACTCCATGCAAGTGTAAGTAGAACCACTTTATGTTTGTTCAAGGTGTTACGGAGATTTCACATTTGTAGAATGGAATGAAGTGATTTTCTACATTGGTAGAGGGACAATTTGCTCAGAGGACTTAATGTGTGTGTGTGTTTTTTAATTATATGTACATTTAACCAAGGTGATTGTACATGTTGTTGCAAGTAACCATTTTTATATTTTATTTACTTGAAGAGATAATACACAGTCCACAAAAATTTTTAAGGGTGAATGTATTTGAAAATAGCACTCTCAAATTGATTGCCATTTTTCATTTATTGAAATTGGCCCAACTGAGGAGAAATATCATGGAAATAATATAGAACATTTAAAATGTACATGTTTTTTTTTTTTTAATTTTTTTTTTTCAACGTTTATTTATTTTTGGGACAGAGAGAGACAGAGCATGAACGGGCGAGGGGCAGAGAGAGAGGGAGACACAGAATCGGAAACAGGCTCCAGGCTCTGAGCCATCAGGCCAGAGCCCGACGCGGGGCTCGAACTCACAGACCGCGAGATCGTGACCTGGCTGAAGTCAGACGCTTAACCGACTGCGCCAACCAGGCGCCCCAAAATGTACATGTTTATGGTGGCTGTGTGTGCATTTTTAGTAGATTAGGTTCTTATTCAATTTTACAAGCTATTCATGATGTCACAAATTAGGCCAAAGTAATATAACCTATTTTCACATCAGTAAGTATGGAGAGAAACCAATAAGGAGAAGATTTTTGTTTCTTGGAGAAATTTAATTTATTCATTTGAGGAACTCTCATTTTGTATTTTTGTTGCATTAAATAGAATACTTCTCAAAATTATGAAGACTAATTTTGTACTCAAAAATTTCTACAAGCCACATATATGTGTTGTAACTGATTTACAAATTAAAGATTTCTATGTTTTTTTTTTCCAAAAATGCTGATTACTTGGGAAGCATCAAAACTTTTTAAAGATAACAAATATGTTTAACTTAGTTTTTCTACTCACAGGTTTGGTTTACTTGTATTAGGTCCATATGCACAGCACTTAAATGTGACTTAGGCTCTTTCTGTAGCTTTGTCATATTAGGTCATTTGTACAAAGTAGTTATCATTTAGCGTTAGTCCTCCACTTCTTATTTTCTTTAATTCCTACTGAATGAGTTGGAGAAATATCACTTTCTAGTGTTTGAAGTATGTAGGAACTTTCAGCTAGGAGTGTAATCAATTGAAACTTACTATCTATGATTTTTTACCTATAGAACTTTAAAAAATTCAGTGAGAATTTCACTTGGTTCAATTTGTAAGAATTTCAGTTTTCTTTTTTCTAGCATCTCAAGGTGATTTTTTAATACCTCTTGGAGGGGGTAGCAGAATTCAAGCTATTTGTGTAGTTATTTGTGGATTAAATGAGATAATACATTTAAAGCTTTTAAAACAGTATTTGGTACACTGTAAGTGCTCAAGAAATACTATCTGTTATATGGCAAACTAAATATAATAGATTCTAAAACTCAGTTGGTTGAGATAAATGGAAAACCTTTGCTAATCTCTTTAATCACCCATTGCAAGAATTATAAAAAGGTTTACCTACTTCATTTTCTGAGGTGGTTATTGTATTCTAGCAAGCTCTACTATAGTTTTCATCAAGTAATCACTCTTTGATTATTTATCTTAAGAGGCAAACTTCTGCATCACTGTGGAAAAGTAGGACATGCCATTTTATAAAAAAAAAAATTGATTTTAAAAAATCCGCATGCAGAATAGAAAACAATGACCAAACGCATCTGAACACAATCCTTTCCCCCAGTCTACTTTAAGATTGTAAAAAATTGAAACACTTTTGGAATCTAAGCATCATAATAAAGTGTGGTGCATGTAAAGAAACTTTCTCTTATTGCTTTGTTTTGGGTAAGCACCTTAATTTTTTAATTGTTCTGACTTATGCCCTAGTACATGCAAAAAATAGACCAAACTTGGGCCAGCTTCAGGGTAATTGCCACAGAACTCGAAGCATTACAAATGGATGCCAATTAGAAAGGTCACACTGAGAGGTGAGGATACATGATTCCTCTGTCAAATGCAAGAAACAAATTTCCAGAAATTTGACCCAAATGTCTAAGGCTGGCTGGCTGAAATAATGCAGATAATGCAAAAACAGCATCTGTTATTCTTTCTCATCTTGGCAGGCTAAAGTTATTTCATGGAATAATGACTTTTAAACAGTACAAAGCAAGTCTTGCTCTTGTCACTCACTGAAGCTCTTTGATATTAAAGTCGTTCTAATGACTTTGAGCTGAATTGTAGATAAAAAAATTAAGCCCTATGATTATGTGGATTCTTCTTAAACCTATTGTCCAAGCCTGCTTTCTCTTATCTGAGCTTTTATTAGCACTTTTTCTCTAGATGGAAACCTAATTAAATTATAACGTGATTTATTTTTAAGGAAGTTGAATTTGGAAATAGTATTAATCCTAGCAGTTATCAGTTTTATGCCCAGATGGTTTCTTCCTGTTTTCTTCTAGTTAAACACGTTGAAAAATTATTCTTGTAACTTTAGATATAATCATTTGATTTAGTCTTGATTTTCACAAAATTGGATGGTCACTAAAAACGCTAAAAACCTTTATATTTTTAGGATTAAATGTATAATTTGTGAGTTGCTTTAAATTAGTAACTGTGCAGAGGCATTTAAAGCCTACCTTTATAATCATTTTTCTATATATATGTGTATATTTACATCATATTGTACATCTTAAACTTACACAATGTTACATGTCAATAATACCTCAATAAAACTGGAAAACATTTTAAGTTAATAGAGTACTTTTAAGGTTTTATATATAAAATAAATATGAACCAAAAATATGAAGCATTCATATAATTCTGGGGGAAGTAATTTCCATACTGTATTAAGAAATATTCATGGATAATTATAGATTCTCAGCTTAGTTTTTATAGTAACAATTAGAATATTAAAAATTAGTTGCTGGGCACAGACAACGCATTTGCATAGTTCTTTAAAAATTCTTTCACTCACATTATCTCATTACATGATTAGGTGAGGAAAGAGTCTTAGAGATGTTAAATAATTTCGTTAAGTTAACACAGTTAACAAGCAATTGAACCAGAACCATCCTTTTAACATCCTGTTTCTCTGCAAATGCTACAATGCTTTGTAGGTAAAATTTAGTTGAGAGAAGATACTAAATTTTGTTTGGAACCAATTACATTGTTTTCACCTATTATTTTACAGGAATTAACAATCACACAGTTTAGTAATATTTTTGTACTACATGTCAAAGAATAAATATTGTGGCACATCCTTACAATATTTTGCTCGTGCGTCGCCTCCCCATCTTACGCAAGCTCTGTTCGGACTCTTTTTTTCCCATCTATTTCTGTGTCTTTAGTTTCTGTGTCTGCCACAGAACCTATCACAGAGTTTTGCACACATTGGTGGTTCAATGTGATGATGCGCCACATAGGAAACGCCTCTCAAAATGAACTTTCAAAGCAGAAGAGAGCTATGTTTTGCTCACTGAAAAATTTCATTTATAAAATGCTTCATTATCAGTGGACGCAAAAATGGCAAACCAAAGTATGAGCCCAGAATGGGTACACTTAGGCAATATTTGTACTGATTTTTTTTGCGTGTGCTAAGTTTGTTAATTCAGTGTGCATGGCTTCCTGACTCATTCAACCTACACATGTTGCAATCTATATGCAGCTCTCCTTAAAATCTTTACTAGTATACTTCAAATACACAGTGCAGCCAGATTCCTACCATGCAGGTTTTTTCAGCATTCTTTACAAGGGTGAAGATGTATGGTCTTCTCCTTCTTCAAGATGTGTTGGGAATCTTCGAGAGTGGGAGTAGGTGACTGCTTCCCAAAGAGCCATGAGGGTGAGTCAGAGCCTTCACTGAGACCTCCACTGTCCTTTTGAACTCATTCCAGGCTGAGGTACCTTGTGGAAAAGAGCACCCTTCTCTTTCTGTCTGTGTCTCTGACTGCTCGTCTGTTCCTGTTCCCTCCTCACTCTGTTCCTGCTCTCTCCTCAGGTTTGTTATCTCTATGGAAATCCCCATAGAGCGAGCACCTTTCTGGATTTATATGAGGTGGGTGCAGATGTAGGAGTGAGAGACCTCAAGTGTGGTGGTTACAAGCATAGAGTGTGTCATTGTAGTTAAATTAAAACTAGTCATTTTACTTAATCTTTCGCTTCTGTGGTTTTATGAATTGTAAAAGGACAAAGACTAAAATCATGATCTATTGTGATAGTTGCGCAGTTTAAATGAGATAATACATATAAAATACTTAGAATAGTGCCTGGGAAGTATTCAGCATTTAATTTAGAAAAGATCTTCCTTAATTTGCTCTCAGGCAGCTGTTTGATGATCCTGTCTCCTCTCTTAGAAGACGACTTTCTGATTTGGGGGTCAGGCAGCTGTGACCCTTCAGATATTTAGACCAGCCCCAAATCCTGTTTATCACTGACCTTTTTTTTTTTTTTCCTTTAGGTCCACTTTTAGGCACTTTTTGTGCCTACAAGAGCCCCTTATCTCCAGAGTTTCCTTTTTTTCAAGAAACCTAATTTGAAAGCAAAATTCCCAGGCTCAAGGTCTTAAAGAGGCAAGGATTTCTTAATGATCATAATCTCATAACACTTTTAGAACCCTGTTGCATCTTGTTCTTTTCCTAAAGAAAATGTAAATCTTGGAAAAGATGGTTGTAATGTTTTTTTTTTTTTTCTTTCTTTTTGCCTTTTCGTAAAGCACGAATGATAGCACATTACCTATTGGGGAAGAAACATTTTAGCTTATTTTAAAGGTCCAGAGAGAAGCATGTGGTAGAATTATTTTTGTTTCTCAGGGTTTTAGGGGATCATGTTTGGAAGGAAAGCTAATTGCAGAGTTTACGAAACAGGCATGGAATGTATGCTTGATCAGCCCTAAGCAAGGACTAGAACGTCTTCCTTTCCTGGTTTCGGAGGGTGCCAGCTGGCTTGCCC